CTGTTGTTGAGGTTACTCTGGGTCATTCACTCCTCAACTGTCAGCCCTTTCTGAAATAGGTGCATACCTTCCCTTCTGCTTGCCAAGCTCCTTCCTGGGTAACTGAGAGAGCATCTCCCAGGGGTGGAGTGGGTTTGAGGGACCCATGAGTAAGATTTGTAGCAGCTCTTCTGAATTCAAAGGTTTATTGCTGCCTTGGATTAGGTGAATTCAGTCCTTAAGTAGAGCCATTGGGGTCACAGCTAAAGATGAGCCAAGGAAAGATCCTGACTGTAGCAGCCAAAGAAACTATATTTCACCGTAGCTTCTTCAGGTCCGAATCCATGGGCTAATCCTCTGTCCATTATGGTGGCCGTGGGCCACACGTGGCTACCTGAGTTTAAATTACATTAAGACAAAGTACAATACAAAATCCAGCTTCTCACTCCTACTAGCCATTTTTTCCTTCTTCCTTTCAACTTTTTATTGTGAGTCGGGTGAAGGTTTAGAGAGCAGATCAGTTTCCCACTCAACAATTCAGACCCATTTTGTTTCATGTCATTGATTGCAGCCCTCACCACATAGTATCACTCACTCACTCCCTGCATTTCCTGATCCCATGCCTCCTTCTTTCCTCACTCTTCTGAACGTTGTCCTTGGGGAAATGCTGCCCCTTCGATCTCCAATGGTTGATGATTCTAAGGAGGGCATATCTCCCTGGTGTTATTGTTTACCTTATAAACCTGCCTGTGGTTTGCTGAAAATTGAGCCACGGGGGTGAGTTCAGTTCCAGACCTGAAGAGTGAATGAAAGTGAACATAGCCTTTGGGGTTCCAGCAGTCTCTGTCCGACCAGTAAGCCTGATCTCTGTTATCATTTTGAGTTTTGGTCCATATTTTTCTCTCACTCAATCCAGAACTGACTAATGTGATTCCTTTCAGAGTAGTTGATAATGGTAGCTGAGGACCATCTAGTTCTGGTTTCATGGTCCATCAGTTCACTGGACTAACTGTTTCCATGTGTCTTCAGTTTTCATTACCAACAATAGGTGTTCACTCATGGCACACTAGCCCTCTTTTAGGACTTAATATGTGTAATTGGTGGTGATGGTGGTGCACCGTGGAGTTCATAGCAACCCTGTATTGGGTTTACAAAGCTGTAAATCTTTACGGGAGCAGAAATCCTAGTCTTTCTCCTGTGGAGCTCCTGGTAGATTTGAACCGCTGACCTTACGGTTGGCAGCCCAGCTCGTAATCCACTACACTACCAGGGCTCCTTTGGGTGTGTAATTTGTTGTTGTTGTTAAGTGCCATCGAGTCAGTTCCAAATCATTGGGCCTTTATAAGGATTCCTAGGAGCATCTGGTGAATTTGAACCACTGACCTTGTGATTAGCAGTCCAGTGCCTGTCTTCCAGCACCATACCAGGAGTCCATATGTAATTGTTGTTGTTGTTGTTAAGTGCTTTCCAGTAGGTTCCGACCCACAGTGACCCTGTATAGGGTTTCTGAGAAGCAGTTAGTGAGCTTGAACCATTGATCTTGCATTGCTGTTGCCGCCGACTCTTAGCGACCGTATATAGGGTTTCCAAGGAGCGGCTGCTGAGCTTGAACCACTGACCTTGAGGTTCAAACCGACTTTGCAGTCCAGCGCATTAAGCCACAGCGCCACACCTGGACTCCTAACACCGATATAGCACCTGATATTCCCTGGTGGTCTCCTATCCAAGTACTAAGTAGGCCCGATCCTGTTCAGCTTCCGTGAGGTGGAGAAATCAGGCCTGTTCAGGGCGGAATGGTCCTAGATGTGCATTAGAGGCTACCGTATTAGACAGTACAGATGTAGAGGACTTCCATCATGGCAAAAAATTTCATTGGAAAGCACTGGACTAGAGCACAAGCTTCATGCAGAAAGGGGTGTTGGTCTGTCGGCCACTCCTGAGTGCCTGGTGACTAAATATTGTGGTGATGTAGGATAAACACTGGACATAGGTCAGTGATTCAGACCCACCAGCTGCTCCTCGGAAACTGTATACAGGGTCACTGGGAATCAGACCTACTCGATTTTCAAATCAATCCATTGAAACCCCTATGGAAGTCTTGGGGCATCAAGGTCAGTTGGAGTAACATAATTCCCCAAGACAACGTCCTACATCTTACTTCTGTGGTGTTTCTGAGTGGACCAAACCGAAACCCCAAAATTGGTCAGTGTCCGCTCAGGGGCTGTGATCTCCATGTGTTCTGAAGTGCATCCTCCCTGCTCACCCAAACAAGCTCTCTAAGGGTGCACCCACAGGTTCCTGCAACGTTTCACTGGACACATGGCCCAGTCCAGGCGAAGGAGAGATGTGGAGTCTGGCCAGAGTTCAGACAAAGAGCTTGAGAAACCTTTCTTCACATGAAGCAAAGTCTGCCCACGCTCCAGCCTCTCCATTCTCATGGCTGTGTCTTAGGTCAGCCCCTAGAAGCAGAGCCCCTGACCAATACTTCCACATGTGATTTATTGGGGGGTTGGGGTGGGGCGCAGGAAGCAGGAGGGACAGGGAGGTAGCTGGTCATAGGGTTACCCCACTAGGACACATGGGGGCTGGACTCTTGACCTCCAGCTGGCGAGGGACAGGTCGTAAGTCTCTGGGGAAGGTGATGGCCTGTCTCTCCTTTCTGTCTGGGAGGAGGTCTGGATGCTCCACAGTCTGTCCAGCCTGGGCTCCAGTCTTCATTTCTCTGCCCACGAGCCACACGCTCATCCAGCCATCCAGCCATCCATTCAGCAACACGGAAAAAACAACCACTGACACCCTGAAGGAGCACAGCTGCCCACTGGCACAGGGGCCCCAGGGGTTGGAGTCTTCCATTGGCCAGGAGTAAATATAAACACACAAACACACACACATGAGGGGAAGCCAGAAAGTACTGCTGCAAAATCAGAGGACCATTTATTCAATTAAAATATCAGAATGTGAAGCTGTTGTTTCTCGGCATCTCACAACAATAACAACAAAAGTACATTAAAAAAACAACCACAACAAATCCTCCGGAGCACTGTTCCACTCAGATACATGGATGGGTCATTGTGAGTTAGGGTTGACTTGATGGTAAGAGTGATCTTTTTTTTAAATCCCTACTCAATCTGCAGTGTCCTGAGCCAGGGCTGGAGTAGCTGAGGAGTGGGTGTTGAGGAAGGCATGTGAAGTGGGTGCACTGAGTAGGGTCTGGCTGGTAGGGGTGGGGGTTTTGAGTCAGGAAGTCTGTGTGGCCCTGGGTGTGGGTGGTGATAGTTAAGTAGCTGAGCGGTGTGGACCCACACTCTGTTCGGGTTTTACCCTCTGATGCTGGTCCTATCAATGAGGGAGGGGGAGACTGCAGGTTGTGGGGGTGTGGAGTGAGGTTCACTAGGAGGGTATTGCTGACTCGGGGTGACTGCTGCTGAATCCCAGTCTCTTTCTACCATTTGAGAACAAAGATCATCCAGGGTGACCAGAACCTCGGGTTCTAATCCGGAGACCAGAGACCTGGATTCCTATGTGAAATCTCTTAATTTTTGAGATGTGGCAGTTAATCTTAAATTTATATAAAAACAGTCTGTGGTGCTGTAGGCTGCATGATCGGTGGATCAAATCCACTACCCGCTCCATGGAACCCCTATACAATGATGCTATGAGTCAGAACAGACTCAACAGCGTTTAACAACAACAATGATCATTTAGGAGGAACCCTGGTAGTGTAGAGGCTGTTGACTGCAAGGTTGGCAGTTCGAGCCCACCAGCTGCTCTGTGGGAGAACGATGAGGGTTTCTGCTCCTGTAAAGATTTACAGCCACAGAAACACTCTTCAGGGTCGCTATGAGTCAGAACCAACTCAGCATCACACAACAACAACAATCGGTAAGGAGCCCTGGTGACGCACTGTGTTTAGGCATTGGGTTGCTAACTGAAAGTTTGGCGGTTTGAACCCACTGGCAGCTTCCTGGGAGAAAGATGTGGCCGTCAGCTTCTGTAAAGATTTCCAGCCTCAGAAACCGAGAGACCCGTTCTGTGTCCTGAGAATGACTTTGAGTCAGAGTCGACTTGATGGCACTTGGTTTTATGTTGGTGTCAGTAAGATGCGACCCGTGGGCCCCTCTCTGGTTTGCTGTCTGTACTACAGAGAGCTGAGAGAAGGACACCACAACCCCATTGTCTCTCCAAAAGTCCTCTCCAGGTGGAGAGTCCCTGCCCAAGGCTCTAGTGACAGCAATGACTTAATGTCCAGGCACAAGGTGGGGCTTGTTCAAGGTTCACAGGGTCTGTACTGCAAGGTCTTAAGATCCATTCTACAGAGAAGGCGACGGAGGGTCAGAGAGGCCCAGAGATTCGTCTAGAGTCCCACAGCAGAGCCCGAGAAGGAGGCCAGGTCTGCCGATTTCAGTGTGTGAAGGCCAGCACACATTACCATTCCTCACACTGTTCCGTGACCAGCCAGCACGCAGCTCCCAACCTCTCTCTGCATGCTGCAGTCATGTGGATTGGGACTCACAGTGACCTAGGGCAGGGCACAACTACCTTACAGGTTTCCTAGGCAGATGGCCAGTTTTTTTCTCTCATGGAGCTATTGCTAGCTTTGAACTGCCAGCTGAGCACATAAGCAGTGTGTCCTAGGACTCCTTGGATACCTCTAGTGACAGGGGACTTACTGACTTCCGAGGCACCTGTTCTGTATCTAGTCTGCCGCCCTGTGGGGGCCACCCAAAACATCCCGCCACCCTTGTCATCTCCAGGTTGGACTTGCTGCCCTGATTCTTGGAGGCTCCAAGCCTCCCTCCCTCCCTGCTTTCCGGTGGGACAGCAAAGCTGCGTCTTTCACACAAATGTTCCAGGTGCTGCGAGGCTCTGTCTGCCTGTGGCACAGATCCTGCCAACAGAGAGGAGTTGCGGATGGTCTCCTGGCTCAGCCTTTTCCTCTGTCTCCATTGGCACATACCAGGGTCAGTGGATCCACGTGGACGGTCCGGTCCCCCTGCTCACCCTGTCCTTTGTCTCCGCAGGCACGTACCAGGGCCAGTGGGCCGGCGGCATGCGCCAGGGCTACGGTGTTCGGCAGAGCGTCCCATACGGCATGGCGGCGGTCATCCGCTCGCCCCTGAGGACGTCCATCAACTCCCTGCGGAGCGAGCACACCAATGGCACTGCGCTGCTCCCCGACGCCTCCCCGGCAGTGGCTGGCAGCCCGGCCGTGTCCCGAGGCGGCTTCGTCCTGGTGGCCCACAGCGATGCCGAGATCCTCAAGAGCAAGAAGAAGGGACTTTTCCGGCGCTCACTGCTGAGCGGCCTGAAGCTACGTAAGTCTGAGTCCAAGAGCAGCCTGGCCAGCCAGCGCAGCAAGCAGAGCTCCTTCCGCAGCGAGGCCGGCATGAGCACGGTCAGCTCCACCGTCAGCGACATCCACTCCACCATCAGCCTGGGCGAGGCCGAGGCCGAGCTGTCGGCCGTCGAGGACGACATCGACGCCACCACCACCGAGTCCTACGTGGGCGAGTGGAAGAATGACAAGCGTTCGGGCTTCGGCGTCAGCCAGCGCTCGGACGGACTCAAGTACGAGGGCGAATGGGCTGCCAACAAGCGCCACGGCTACGGCTGTATGACCTTCCCCGACGGCACCAAGGAGGAGGGAAAATATAAGCAGAACATCCTGGTCAGCGGCAAGCGCAAGAACCTCATCCCCCTGCGGGCCAGCAAGATCCGCGAGAAGGTGGACCGGGCTGTGGAGGCAGCCGAGAGGGCTGCCACCATTGCCAAGCAGAAAGCGGAGATCGCGGCTTCCAGGTAGGGGCGGCGGTAGGGTGGGCCTGGGGGAAGGCTCACGTGAGTGCTTCTCAGAGGGTGCCCCACAGAACCCCAGAGGTGGTCAGCGGTGGTCGTGGGCAGGGGCGGTGCCAGGACCGTCCCTGAGCAGGGTCTCTTGTATCTGTTTCATCACCCTTGGAGGTATTGAGGGTTTGGCTCTAGACCACTACAACAAAGTGAGTGTCACAAAGCAAGTCACACGGTGTCTCGGTTTCCCTGTGCACAGAAAAGTGATGTTGGCTCGCTGCTGTAACGTGTGTGCGGAGTGTGCCGAAAAAGTCTGTAAGGCTGTCACAGAGACACGAAGTGAGCACAGGGTTTGGGGGCAAAGGCACTGGTACAAAAGTCGCAGTATCTGTGAACCGCGGTGACCGAGCTGTGCTGTACTTTGGTGTTTAACGTCAGGTGTGGACGGATAACAAGGCTGTGTCATGTTGGAACAGACCTAGGACAGCTTAGGTTCCGGAAGGTGTGCAGAGGCAGCTCCTCCTACCTGCATCCCAGCTTCCCTGTGGACCGCGGGCGGTGGCACACACAGGCTTAGTGCATGAGGGTCCAGTGGACCACACCATGGCCCAGGAGGGGGCGCAGAGCTGACTGCTGCCTTGGTGCCACGTTGGACCAGATAATGTCACAGATGCGAGGCTGAGTGGCGAGCCAGGGGCCCTGCAGGCAGGTGGATTTCGGGAGGGAGCCAAACTCTGAAAGCCTCAAACCTTGCAGGTACTAATGGGGCAGAACCTGCCTCGGAGCTGCCCTTGGCTTTGTGGTTTCAGAAAACCACGTGGACTTTCAGGGCCAGAGTAAGTCCTCAGAGTGTGCCCAGAGGGTCCTGAGTGTGGGCTGGGCTCTCCAGTCCACTGTAAGGCTCTGGGCTCAGGGTGGGCACAGACAGGGTCTTTCCTCCTAGGAGAACTCTCTATCCCTAGCCGAGGGCCAGGCTTGGAGGGTCCAGGAAGACCCCACATCTGACTTAGTGCCTTCCCCCTCACTAACGACCACAGGCCCATTGGGGTCTGGTTTTGGACAACCCGTGGTCTATAACACAACAAGAATGGTCACATGGTTTGACAACCATATGCTACTCACAGCCTCCCGAGGTGTGAGAGTGACAAGCCCGTAGCCCATCTGAGGAGCCGAGAGGAAAATGGAATTACTACCTGAGCCCCGAGCGCCTCGCTCCCCATTCCCCGCCTACCTTTTCCAGCAGAGCTCCGGCAGGGGAGTAAGTAGTAGCTGCGTTCAAGACTGCTCACCTGGTATTTTAGGAACAACTCGGGCTCAATTGCTATTTTTCCCGTTAGGAACATAGTCCTCACTCCGTATGGAAAAGAAGGAAAATGGAACTTTGAGGAAGAAAACCACATGGGCTTGGGTCTGGTCCACCGTGCCACGATGCAGCGTTTTACTGTATTGCATTCCTCCTAATGTCCTGGACTCCTGGTATGGCATTGTAAGATCAGTACTGGACTGTGAGCCCCAAGGCCAATAGTTCAGACTCACAGTGTTGTTTAACCCTTGTTGTTTACTGACACAGTAACAATGGGCTCAAACATAACAACAATTGTACCCACCAGACCCAGGACCCACCATTCTGTTGTGCATAGGGTCACCCTGAGCCAGGACCCACTCGAAGGCACCTCACTAAAACAAGAACAGCAAGGTGAAAGTTCAGTGATACATTGCGTTGGGCAAATCTGCTGCAGAATACCTCTTTTCAGAGCTAAAAAACAAACATAGTACCTTGAGAACTAAGATAAATTGCGGTATTCTCGTTTGCCTCATATGCATATGAGAACTGGACAGTGAATAAGGAAAACTGAAGGAGAATTGATGCTTATGGATTTGGGTATTGGCGCAGAACATTGAACCTATCACGGACTGCCAGGAAAACGAACAAACGTGTCTTTAAAATGGACAGGTAGAGTAACCCTGAGAAGCAGGATGGTTAGACTTTGTCTCTTGTCCTTTGGACGTGTTCTCAGGAGGGACCAGTCCCTGGAGAAGGACATCTTGTTTGGTAAAGTGGAGGGTCAGCAAAAGAGAGGAAGACCCCCAGCAAGATGGACTGACCCAGTGGCCACAGTGGACTCAAATATAACAATTGTGTGGATGGCGCCCGACCGGGCAACGTTTTGTTTTCTTGCTCATGGGCCGCTGAGTCAGACCTGACTTGAAGGTATATAACAGCAACAGTGTATGTATTGATTCTTTGATGTACCGCCATGGACAAGAGACAGTTTACAATGCTGAGGGGCAGTCCTCAAATATTGGGGTTGCTTGTCACAGCTCCTGTTCTAACCTGACTGTTCATTGCCAGCTGAGGGCTGGGGTCAGAAACACAAGAATTTAAGGGAAAGTCTCCCACAGAACTGATTTCAAAATAAAGACTGAGGACAAATCCCAGAAGAAATGAGGGGGAAGCTGGTGGTACAAACAGCTGAACACTCCACTGTTGACTGGAAGGTTGATGTTTGAGTCCACTCAAGTGCCTTGGAAGAAGGTTCTAGTTCCAGACTCTGAGCCATTGAAAACCCTGTGGAGCTCAATTCTACTCTGACACATGCACGGTCGCCATAAATCAGAGCCAACTCCGCAGTAACTGCTTTGGTTCTGGTCAAGATTGGGGAGACAGAATGGTGGTGTGGGCAGAGCTGGGCGTCGGCCACCTGAGGAGCTTTAGTGAGGGTAGCAGCTTCATGCCCCAGCTTCAGTTGTCCCATCTGTGAAATTGGAACACCTTCCTTCCCCTTGGCCTGGCCGGAGCTGGAAAGGGTGGTACACATGAGTGGGCAGGGAGCTGCTTCCTCGCCATTTTCTCAATGAACTTAGATTTTTTTTTTTTAATGTTTTATTGTGAATTATGTGATAGTTTACATGGGAGAATATTAGCTTTACATTCATCCTATCATATATCATTTCATTGCCATGGTTACAATCCCCTCCATGCATCATCAAACAACCAAAGCCTGCCCCCCGGTCATCAGCACACAGCCCCTCTCCCTCTCTGGTCTAGAGTCCCCAGCCGCTCCGTCTCTCCACATCATCGTCTCTGCCTCCATCTCTGGCGTCACTGCTTCTCTGGGTAGGGTCCCGCTCTCTGCTCTTCTCCATTGATAGTCCCAGGGACCTCCATTCCTAGACTGCAAAGTCAATCACTCTCCTCCGTTTGCTACAAAACGTCTACCTTTACATTTCCAACCCTCACAATCAGTCCTGATAGCAGTTATTCACTATTGTATCACAAGATACCTATCCGCATTTACTTTCATCAGCGCCGCCCAGTCAGATTGGATACTATTCAGTGGAGACTCTATCTTCCTCCACACCCTCTGGATCTAGGTTCGCTCTTTAAAGCTTGTAAGCCAGTCACTTCTTGCCTTTGTATCCTGCCCCGCCCCCCATTTTGAGTAGGAAATATCTAAGTTGGCCATCCCTGTCTACCCTGTGTATCGAGGGGGTGGGAATGATCCTCGCTGTAAAGATTTGTTCCCTCTTTTGAGCTACTGCATCCAAAGGTGTAGGTCAAGTTCATCAAATTGTATCAGATTACTCTTTTTTTCCCTCTTCTTTCTTCTTCTGATTGAGTTCTGATCATCCAGTCATTGAAGCCAAGTCAAGTGGGTATTATCTGCAAGTGTGGGTGTTCTTGTGCATATGCCCTCTCTTCTTATCAGCTGGATGCTTCATTCTCCACTCTAGTCCTCTGTGGCTATGTAGCTGACTCTGGGCCCATGAATCCCCAGGTCTTGCCACACTGCTGGCCAACCAGGTCTCCACCCGGGTTCACAGGAGTCTATTGAATGTGGTAGGACTTAGCTCACAGCTTCATTGCTGTTTTTCCCTCACTTCCCCTTATCGGTGACCAACGTGGTCACCAGTCAGAGCACATGTCTGCTTGTGTATTCCCCTTGAGTCCTAGTCTTGGAAGGGGGTTTACCCTACGGGGACCTGACCACTTGCCTTGATATCTCCTGGGTGAACAACTTGTTTGGTCTTGTAGTAGTCAGTCAGACTGCCATTATTGTTTTGTATTTTTCCTGTTGGTGACTTAGAATTTTTTTTAAAAAGGACCAGAGGTGAGTCTGGAGAGGGAAGCCAGCAGGTGTATCAGCCATGGGTGCTTCCTGCACTATCTGAGGCCCACCCTCTGTTGGAGGGTGAAGGTGGCAAGGGCAGCACAGTGGACACTGGAGTGGCTGGCCAGGGGCCAACACATCACCATCTGAGGTCCCAGATAGATGGGGACTCCTTCAGCCAAGTGTAGTGTGAGACAAACACACAGATGCACAGAAGCACACACCGCACAAAGTTGCTCACACATACACCTAAGGCCATGCGCATGCGCACACACACACACACACACACACACAGGTATATGCACACACAGCACATAATATGCATGCACACCACATTCACACACCCACATACATCATGCACTCACGTGTGCATGCCAACTTGCTCCCATATACATGTGCATGCAGGCACACACATCTGTACATAAAGTCACCCACACATGTACATAGCAGGGCACATGTACATGCACGTGTAATGATGCCCCCACATGTGTGCGCACATGCATGCACATGCTTGCATACACACATGTACATGCGTGCACGCACACACCTGTGTATGCATGTATGGGCTGGGCAAGGGTTAAGTTTGCTCCTTTGTCAGTTGAGCCGGGTAGGCCTGAGGGCACGTGCCATTGTTTTGGGTCCAGCCCCTATGTGGGTCCCTCTCCGGTGTTAAGCCCCTGCCACAAGCTTATGCCCTTGTGGCCTGTGAGACTCTATGTACTCCCAAGAGGCACATGGCATCTGGCCCCCAAGCTCCAAGACTCTTCCTAGGTGGAGAGTAGGATGTGGGGTGTGGGGCTGGGAGGTAGGTGTCTGTTCTGGGGAGCCTTCCCAGGAGGGGCGTAGGGTGCCGGCACCTGCACCTGGGAGCTGAGTCTTGGTGGCATCCATAGGACAAGG